AAATCTACTTAAGTCTCACGAAATTTGCATATTTTAAATAACTGTGCTCTTAGAGCGTAAAGTCGKGCTAGCTATTTTTGAAAACTGGGAAAGACTAGGATATTTACTCTTTTAAGTATTCATCTTTTCTGTCAGAGCAAAAGAAAACTCAATTCAAAGTCTTTGCTGAAGTTTATTCATGACGAGTCAACTGAATTGGATTGGCCAATCAAAATAGAGGACATGTAATGGCAGCCATTTTGTCCCACAAAAAATGTAAACAAGTCGGTTCGTAGGGAGAAGTTGAGATGGTTTTGAGATGTTGCTGGGGCACTTGTAAAGCAGATGAGCGCTAGCCAACCAGGTGAAATGGAAAACGATTTATTTTGATTCCCAAGACAAAAACTAGCCTAGAAAAATGCTTGAATTGGATCAAAATATACAGAAAAAGCACGAAGTGCTCAAAGTAAAACTCATAAAAAATAATTAAATCATTTCTCTAGGACTTTTTCAAATTGACTTCAGATTGTTTTTAACAAAAGATAAATCATCCGAATCGATAAATCGTTCGAAGAATGTCATTTACAAAAATCGAAAGCATTTGTGGGTCATTTGTGGGACAAGCGCGAGCTTTCGATTCCCGCGCTTTCTACTGATTGGATAATCACACGCTCGCGCTTGATTTGTTGGATCTATGAATTTTCAGCATGTTCACTTGTAATGAATATTTCTCAGTTTTCTTTGCATTAAAATTCAAAATTTATTCTTAATTTTGTTTGCTTCAGTTTGTCCATATAATAAAAAGAACATTACACGGTTGCTTGAAGATATGAATTTTATTTTGTCGTGATAAAAACAATATTTTACGAGTGAGCGTCCACCACTCGAAAATAAAATCCATATCTTCACGCCACTGTGTAATATCCTCTATTTATCTGATAGTTGAAACTTAAACCGAAACGTATTTCACCCTAGCAGACCAAGCAACAGTCACGCTACAAATGTTAGAGGCAAAATACTTATCAAAACTGTCATTGAAGACAATGAAATTGTGAAATTCCTAGACTGATTCCATAAGTCGTAGTTTACGTTCATCAGTTTGAATTCTCACTTCAACTAGCGTCTGTCCAGGAGGTATCCGGTGATGTCGCCCCGAAGTGATGTCGCCCCATGATCTCGCCCCCATATATAAGTGATCTCGCCCCCACTTAGTTATTGATATATATATATTATGCAGTCGTAATGCAAAATATAAACAAGTTAGCTATCGTTAACTTTTAGTTTTTCAGGCCTATATGAACAAATTCCAGTGAAATTTATTTTTCACTACGAACGAGTAGCTGAGTAAGCGGTTGAATTCGAAACAATAAAACATCAATCCCGGATATTATTTTCCATAACCTTGCACTTAAAACAAAGTAATATAATGTCAAATAGTTTCCAATCTAACGTATTTGGACTTGATAGTGTTTGTAGCAAACAGAGGGCAAGCGAAGTTTTAGCGTAGTCTGTTTCCGATTCGAAGTGATAATTCGAGCGATACTGTAGTTTGTCTTTCACTACGAACGAGTACTGGGTGGTTGAAATAATACTTCAAACAAAGATAATATTTTACCATAACCTGTAACTTAAAACAAAGTAATATAATGTCAAATAGTTTCCAATCTAACGTATTTGGACTTGATAGTGTTTGTAGCAAACAGAGGGCAAGCGAAGTTTTAGCGTAGTCTGTTTCCGATTCGAAG